CACACACACACACACACACACACACACACACACACACACACGTCCTGTTGCACTGCAGCTGTAAGAAAGGAGAGGCCCGAAGGAGCCCCAAAGAGACCCACAGGAGGATTGGCACGGATTCTGTGCCTTCAAGAGGCCAGAGATGGTTCTTGTTGGCAAAGCAGATTTTTACATGGCCTTGCATTCATCAAATGGTGTCCAGATCCAAGAAAGAAGACAGACATGCCAGCGCTGCCCTTCTGCCACCACTGCGCCTCCCCCCGCAAACATAGGAAGAAGCCTCCTCCAGAATCCCGGAGGCTGCTGGAATGAGCGGCTCGGAGGGCTGACTGCGGAGGATGTAACTGCCCGTGCCCACGCTTCACTGCAGTCCTCCCTCGGGACTTGTTCCCACCCGGCACAGCGGATGGACCATGATGCGTGCTGGCCTGGCATGGCCATCCTCCCTCGTGATGGCAATTAAGGAGTGCAGGGCTGGTGGGCTCTCCGTTCACTCTTGTCGTTGTCGTGTGAGAAGGAGAAGGGCGAGAGCCGAGGGGCTCTGAGGGGAGAACGCAGCATGAAACACAACAGAAATCGCCCACAGCGAGTCTTTGACGTGGCTGTGAGTGGGCTCTACGGAGCGCTGGGAGCTTCTTCCCAGGAAGGGGCCCTTTTGCAGGCAGGAGGGAGAGCAGGTTGGGAATGCGGAGAGGAGGACAGTGTGAGGATTAAGAAGCCGCTGTGTGAGGATTAAGAAGCCGCTGAGCTGTCGCCCACAGCAGGGGCAGGTAAAGGCCAAAGTGACCCGGGGTCCCCATACAGCACCTGCGTCAGTGCGATGGGGCATGAAACAGTTGCCTGGAGTTCTTGCATGGAAACGTGGCCTCTCCTCATGGACCTGAGCTGAAAGAGCAAGTCCTACCCTTCTTTTCCTAGGAAAGCGAATCCGAGGAACAGACATGCCTTGGTTTTCCTTGGAGAGATTTTGTTGTTGTTGTTGTTGTTGTTGTTGTTGGTTTTGTGGGGATTTTTGTTCATTTATTTTCCATAATGGATCTACCGTGTCCATTTATTACCTGTCTCATTAGCCTGCAGCCATCAATCTCCTGCTTCAATCCTGGGTTAAGGAGCAAAGATGGAAGGAAAGCAGGAGCCAGCACCTTGGAAGCAAACGCCCCTGGACCAGGATGCTGTTCTGAATTTGTCAAAGTTATCCCAAGAGAGGGGAGAAACTGTGGGGGAAGGGAGACAGCAGTCACTGTAAGATATGGAAATAATAATCATTTATCTTCTATCGAGGGGTCATGAGGGTGGGAGGGAGGGTAGAAAGAGGAGCTGATACCAAGGGCTCAAACAGAATGTAAATGTTTATAAACTCATGATGGCAACAGATGTACAAATATGCTTGATACAATTGATGAATGGAAATTTATAAGATCTGTAAGAGTCCCCAATAAAATGATCTTTAAAAAATAAAGAGAGAGAGAGTACTCCAAGAGAGGGATCCAATAGAGGGATCCAGTCGTTGGAGGAAAAGGAAAATACGTACATCTTTGTGTCCCTCACGGTGACCCTTAGGACAGAACTGACTGAGGCTGTACATCTCCAAAGGAGCAGGCAGCGTCATCTCTTCCCCGAGTCAGCAGCTCGTGGGTTCAAACTGGGGACCTTCTGGTTAGCAGCCAATGCAGAACCCGCTGTGCTACCCGACTCCTCCCCAGGCTGCTGCGAGTTCAGAACCGGCTCGATGGCGGTGAGTTAGGGAGGCCTGGTGGCGCAGTGGTCAAGCACTCAATGGCGAAGCAAAAGGTCGGTGCGTGGAACGCATCAGCCACTGCTTCTGTAAAGACTTCCCACCTAGGACACCTGAGCTTGACTCCCTCGCGGAAGGCCACTGTATTCCGAATCACCTCCACAGCCCACCACCACCACAGCAGGGGCATCCACGAACACGTGAGCTTGTGTTGCAGAGACACGCGGATGTTTAACACCACTCCAAGTAAAGTACTATGGAAATACAAGAAAATGTATTCAATTCATCTTGAGTACTCTGAAGCTGTAGGCCCCCCAAAAGGAGGGCGGGGAGTTGGGGGGGAGATACTGCCATCAATTTGGACTCACATAATCCTCTAGAGGGGTTTCTGAGATGATCCATCTTTACTGGAACAGAGCCTCAGCTTTCTCCCCCACAGCTGCTGGTGGGTTGGAACCACCCACCTAGTAGTTAGCAAGCAGCCCCACACTTACCCCGCTTTAGGAGAAGGGGGAGAACCTTTTGTGTCGGTGGCCATCAACCTCATTCTTAGGAAGAACATTCGAAAGGCCTTCTCTATCCAGTATTTTTTTAATTGCATCTCTGAAAAGCCTCTTGGGCTTTGCAAAATCCCAGCCATGCCTTTCTTGGCTTCGTGAATGAGCGGGTGCTGCTGGGTCCACCAGCAGCCCTGGCCTGCCGGGCAGGGGGGTCCAGCCACTTCCTAACTCATCAGTAACACCCAGAACAAACTCCACCATGCTCCAAGCGGCCCTCAGGTCCCATCCCTCCTCTTGACATGTATTGGTACACAGGGGTTCTCCTGTTCATTTTCGCTTCCTGACACTGAGGGCGCTTAAACGCTCATGCAGCATGGTACCAGTGATGTAATGCCTTCACAGTCCAGCCTCAGGCTTAGGACCAATCACACGTCAGATCCAAAGTTCTGCCTGGGACCTCTGGTCAAGCCTGAAGCAAGCAGGTCACTCCTGCTGCTGGGAGTTGTTCCTGGACACGATCCCCTGAGCATGAAGAGCTGACCCAGCTACCCAGCATCCCTGGGGGTACAAACCACTACCAGGTTCGGCTGTGAACCAAAAGATCAGTGTCTGAGACCAATCCCCAAGACCTGCCTTGGAAAAAAAGTAGACCTGGTGATCTACTTCTGAAAAGCACTCATTGAAACCTTTATGATGCTCAGTCCTACACTGATGCACAGGGGTCATCGTGAGTTGATAGTTCAAAGGTAAAAAGGGTTCTCTGACCTAAGGTTAGGAGCCTCACCCAAGTCCTGCATTTGCAACCCTCGATCAGTTCATAGGCTCTCCCGTAAGACAATAGACAGTCATTTCCCTACTCAGGTGCAGAAGAGAAAGAAATATAAACATCAGTAAGATCCTGCTCTCCCATGATGCTTTTCATGCCAGGTAAACAAGCTCTATACAATTCTTTCTGAAAAGATGGAATGTAAGATTATTTGCAAAATAACTATAAAAAATACCACCTGACATGGATTGACATCTCCCAGAGGGACTTTATTTTTCAAACATATGGCTATTGTTTGGAATTGGAATTCATTTTTCTCCCAGAGTATCAAAATTACCATGATACTTAGGTTCATAGGGTACCTTATAGAAATAACTAATGCATCATGTTTCCAACATGCTGTGTATTTCAGCTATTTCAAACCACAATCACTTAAATGCCGAGGCCAGATTACCATTCAATCATGTAATCTCTAACTAAATATGAGAGTCTAAGTAGAAAAAGAGTCTAGTGGAGCAGTTATGGAGGCTAGCCAGCACTTGACTGTCAGGTTGGCATACTGTGATGACCAGCATGTTGTTGTTGTGCTGGAAGCATTGGTATTTCAAATACCAGCACGGTTACCCACGGTGGGCAGGATTTATGGGAGCTTGTTGACAGACTACAGAGGAAGACCTGAAGTTCTGCTTCAGAGAAAACATTGCCAGTGAAAACCTTATTTGTAACAGTGGAAAGATGAGCCCCTCGGGTTTGAAAGCACTCAAAATACGACTAAAGAAGAGCTGCCTCCTCAAAGTAGAGATGACCTTAGTGACATGGATGGAGTCACGCTCCCAGGACCTCCGCTTACTGTTGCAGCATGCCTCCACACGAAAAGAGATCCTGCAAGCGATCCTGCAAGCGATCCTGCAAGCATCCATGAAACATCAGAATTGGAATGTATGAGTTATGAATCTAGGAACGCTGGAAGTCGTCTAGAGTGAAGCGGTAGAATGCATGAACGTTTATACGTTAGGCATTTTTTAGCTGAAATGGACTGGGATTGGCTGTTTTGAATCGACAATCACGTGGCTTACTATGCCAGGAATGGCACACCGAAGAGGCATGAGATTGCCTTCATTGTCCAAGAACATGTCAAGATCCATCCTGAAGTACAATGCTGTCGGTGATAGGATAATATCTGTACATACAATGAATATCAGTTAACACAACCATTATTCCAACATACACACCAACCACTAATGCCAAAGAAGGAGAAATGTAATATTTGCTGTTAACTTGAGCTGGCTGAAATTCATCAAACATGCAATGACGTTGCATTGATGATTACTGGGGATTCCAGTGTGAAAGTTGGATATGAAGAAGGCCCATGGCCACGCAACAAGACCCTTCAGCGTAGAAACTACGCCTGCCGGAGATGCCATGATAGAATTCCAAAAGACCAACAACTTATTCATTGCAAATATCATTTTCCAACCACATAAGCAGTAACTATACATACGGATAGGATACACAGGAATCAAATCGATTTCCTCTGTTGAAAAGTTGATAAAGAAGCCCAATACCATCAGTCAGAACAAGGTCTGTGCTGCATAACAAATCATCAGTTGCTCACAGGCCATTGCTGCTGGAGAAAACGAAGTTTACGAGAGCTCAATATAACATGGAGAACTTTCCACCTGAATCAACTCAAGGGGAAAAAATAGAAAAGAAATGATGTATTGAACACTAATGACCAGACAAGTTGTGGGATGACATCAAAGGCATCATTCATGAAGAAAAGTACAAAAGCCATTAAAAAGACAAGAAAGAAAAGGGCTAAGTGGGTGTCCAAGGAGACTGCTCTTCAACACGGGGCAGCTAAGTTAAAAGGAATAAATGATGCAGGCAAAGAGTCGATTGCAAGATTTTGAAGGGCAGCTTGAGGAAACAAAGAATTTTAATGAAGTGTGCCAAAACCTGGGGTACAGGGCCTGCCTAAGCCAGTGACATGGGCATTTATTGTCATTATCAGACATCTGCATTATAGGTTCTAGATGTACTCCACAGTGCAATCACTTTGTCTACAAGCGACGGGAGGCCCAGGCGGCATGCAGGAAGCTGTTGAGTTGATGACATCTGGTACATCCCAGCATTTTTGAACCTTACTATAACTTGGCTAGACCACAGACATAGAGGAGGTGGGACCCTGCTCAAACAGAGGGAACTGCCCATAGGGTTTCCAAAGAGATCATCTTTACAGCAGCAAGCTGTCATTTCTCTCTCCTGTGGAGTGGCTGGTGGGTTCTAATGACCCCCCTCCCCCATAGCCACTGGGCTCCAAGGACTCCGGGGGACCCTTGTTTTACGCGACAGAAGGGAATTTTCAGACCTCTGTCCTTGAGTCACATTAAAAAGCACAAGACCTGCTTGGTGACTCTGTGCCTTTGAACAATTATTTCTGATTTCATGAGCTTGGGCAGCGGATACCTAGTGCATAAATCCTCCTGAACATGATATCCCTCGTGACACTTGCCCAGGGCGCCAAACGCCTAAGACAAGAATTATCCCCAGCCATCTCGTGTAACTCTCGCTCACGGACTGTGCTCCTCTGCTGCTCCCTTATGTAAGCAGGTGGCACAGGAGCCTGCCCTCCAGCAAACGGAAAGGCCCAGGGAGCACACAGTGCTCTGGAGAGCTCTGCGCTCTGTGAGGATCAGGCGACAGAGTCCCTGAATTTCACTCTCTCACCGACGGTTGCCTGCTGTTGGGATCTGGAAAAAATCGAGTGCCATGATTCTGCGAGAATGGCAGGGCACAATGAAATCGAGGTTTTAAAAGCAGAAGCTTTAGCAAAACGTATGTCTGCTGCTTGGACCATTTACTTTTAGGGGTACGGGACCAATTAAGAGATTCAACACTCCTGCCTGTTTGTTAAATCAGCCGTAAAAGGTTGAGGTCCTGTCCTACAGCAAAACCCCACGATGCCCGACTTCGGAAGCTGTAATCTAGACAGGCCCAGCTAGTCTCACTCGTTTTCTTAAACTCTGAAGTCCTGCCCAAGCTCCATGTAGCTAGATCCCTTTCCTCCCTCCCTCCCTCCCTCCCTTCCTTCCCCTTTCTTTCAATAGAATTTGTCTTAGTTTTGCTGCTGTGCTGAGAATACACACCGCAGAACATATACCGACTCAGCAGCTCCAAGGTACAGTTCGTTCAGTGACTTTGGTCTTCGGCCATTCTCACCTCCTTTTCTGAATGGTTCCTTCCTCGTGGACATCAACGCGCCGTCCCGAGGCTTCCTCACTCCTCTCCTGCGTTGCTGCTGCCAATTCGATCCTAGATCCGAAACGGATCTTGTGATTGTGCTTGGTAGGCGCCATCAGGTCATTTTTTATGGTGTGGCATATGGTTTAAAGATGATCCCAGGGCAATTGTTTTGGGGGTTCATCCCATCTCAATGGCTACCAAAAAAAAAAGCCTAGAGTCTGTGAGAATTTGGAATTATATTCTGCATGTCCCTCCTTTTGATCAGAATTTTTCTATAGGATCTTTGATCAACATTCCCGGTAACAGATCTCTTTCTTGGTGTAAGGTATGCATGTGGCTGTATTATGGGCGGCCTGCCCCCCATAAAGAAGCTCATGGCTACATCCTAAAGAACATGCCCTCCTCACTCTTTATCCTCCACATCCCTCTATCCCATTAGTGATCCAAACCTGCACTCCTGAAAGCGGAAAGACAACCAACCCCATTCC